GCTGATTTAGTACTTCTTCTTCTTTAACACAACTGCTCATTTATGAGGACCAGTAAAGTTTTCTCTACATAGAGCAGTTATCAAATTTTGTTAATTCCTAATATTTTATTTTTGACAGAATTCTATAAAAATATTGACTAATAAAAAAAACACCATAGTAATACCATATATGCTATTACTCTAGTGATTTCGTTATTTTATTAGTCAATATTTTATAAAATATATTTTAATGATATATATATTTTTACTTTGTGAATTTTCTTGCTTGGTGTAGCGTAACGTTTCTGCAGAAGTAATGCCATCAGCACAATCTCTTGCATCCATAGGCAAAACAAGTCTTGTCAAGTTATATCTTTTTATCAACTTTTTAGCCTACACTCAGTATAAATCATGTGAAGTCAAAAAAAAAAAAATTATTTAATAAATATGTATTTAGTTGCAAGTTGCTCAGTTCTCTGAAGAACGCTTTTTGTGGAATACATTTAAAATTATTCAAATATATATATATATATATACATATATATATATATATATATATATATATATATATATATATATATATATATATATATATATATATATATATATATATATATATATATATATATATATGTATATATATATATATATATATATATATATATATATATATATATATATATATATATACACACACACACACACACATATAATATATATATATATACACATATAGTATATATATATATATATATGTATGTATATATATATATATATATATATATATATATATATATATATATATATATATATATATATATATATATATATATATATATGACACATGTATATATATATATATATATATATATATATATATATATATATATATATATATATATATATATATATATATATACATACATACATACATATATAAACACACAAACTTGTAAATTTATATTTATTTTTAATTGTTTAAATATAGATTAAAACTCACAAACATTTGGTCTTATTTTCTCAACAATCTTTTATACTATTTAAAAAACAATATCTTCTAGTATCGTGTAAAAATATAGCTATCTGAATGTCTATTTCAGTATTCCAAATGTTATTAGAATAAACAGAAAAAGGCAATCAGTTAGCAAATAATTCTTAGTAAGATAGTATAAGCTGCCAAACATAAAGTGACGAATAATTCAATCATTTGGCGCAATCATTTGTCTAGAATTTAATAAACTTTTTAGTAAGATTTTAAGTTCCGTGTAATGTTTTGGGTCAACCAAGATGGCGGCCGTTTTAAAAACTGGCTTCAAAAAAGTTACGTGACACCGTCTCCTGTTTATTAAATCTCCTTGGTTGTTCTAATGTTTGCTAGACAACGTTAGAATAACACCGTTATGCCGACGTTGTAACATCGTTGGAATTTAGTTAACTCGCGTCGCGACCAAAATCCAACCAAATTACAACAACGGCACGACGTCTTTTTCTTAATGGGCAGGCAAGCATAAATCTTCCAGTGCAGAATAATTCTGTTGTGGCAAACATGTTAATATTATTGTTTTCCTTTTGGATTCGGGTACGTCCATCGCAGTTATGTATGTTCATAGTTGACGGACAAACCATCAAATACCGGTGACATAATTGCCGAAATAGCTTGTTGGTTCGTCGCGTCCATGAATCGAATAAACAAAACGTATTATTTTATAGCTTTCTTTTAACCTCACTAATTCTATACAAAAATCGTTAATATAATAACAAAAAGTCCCATGAGAATACTTTTAATTACAATTGAAATAACTCGTGACTTTCATCACGTATCTACGTGATTTTCAACATGCACAATTCACCAACATAAAAAAGAGAACAGCTTTTTAAATATTTTATAATATAATATAAGTAGCAGTTTATTAGTTTATTTAGTATATTTTCCAAAAATTTTTGATAGTTAATATAACTCATATTGTTTACCAAATGGTATTTTACAACGAGGTGTTGAAAATAATTTAATTGGTGCGTTTATAAAGCGTTCTGTGAAACTTTTCTCATTTTCTAGAAAAGTTTTACATTTACAAAAAAATGCTTTTTTAAATGAAAAGGAAGATGAACATGGAAACTCAGTTTTAAATAATGTTGCATACATTGAAAATCTCACCAGACTTGTTCAAGAAATGTGCTCTCTACATGGATTAGATCTTATAAAAGTCATTGTTAGAGTTAAAACTGATAGAGGACAGCTGTCCTCTATCAGTTTCAACTTTTATTGAGCACTAGTGCTCAATAAAAGAAAGAAAATGAAAATTATTATTCAATTATAATTAATTTTCAGGTTATAATAAATACTTTTGATGAACCAAAGTTAGAAGGGCAAAGTAGAAATAAGAAAAACTCAGAAGTGAACAAGGCGATAATACTGACTTCGACATGTAATGTCAAGAAGAATAACCATTTTCTTGGAATGCTTATTTTAACAATTTATCTTAGAATCATGGTAAAAAACATACTTGTTATTGCTGTACTGGTACAAATAGCTTATCATGACTTAAGAACTTTTGCCTCTTTAAGTTCAGTTTACTAGCCGTACCAAGATGCATGATATCCTTATTAGACTAAAATATAAGAAAACTATTCAATAATGTTATAAGAAACTATTCAATAATGTTATGCCCTTAAATTCCATGTTTGCTTGAGGATGATCCCAAAAAATATATTTTTTTGATACTATCCCTTCTCCGGAACTTCACATGTATGAGCATGTTGTAACAAACTTTATTGACATTCTTATTGTCAATAAGGGTCTGAAATCCTTTTTCAACAAAATTACATTAATGTGCCATAGGTATACTGGTGGTGGATGGACCCAACTGTGGTAAAGCTCTCAAATTATTAGATGAAATGATGTTAGTTACACCAATTCAATTATAACACTGCATTATATATATATATATATATATATATATATATATATATATATATATATATATATATATATATATATATATATATATATATATATATATATATATATATATATATATATATATATATATATATTCTAATTATATACTAAACATGTTTCAATTGCAAAAATTTGTTTTGGCTGCTTAAGTTTACATACAATGAAGATATCTTGCAGTTTATTGAATCTGTTAAATAATTAGAATACTATTGTAAAGAAGTGTTTCACAAAACGTTAATACTTGGTTGAATGTTCCATATTATTAAATACCACATTGTCGATTTTCTTAATAGAAATCAGAAATCTCTTGGACTTTTTTCAGAGCAAATAGCCGAGGCTGTACATAAAAATTTAACAAAAACACTAAATCTGCCGTTGCAGAGACTAACAGAAACCACGGATTGAAGTTAAAAAAAACATTTTCCCCTACTACTCTATAAAAATTCAAACTAATTAAATACATGCATGTTTTAATTTATTTATATAATATATGACCTCATCATTTAATTTGAAAAAAAAAAATTGTCTTCTATGCATTTTATTTTGGTTTTAAACCTGTAATGTATAGAAAAGATCCAAAAGAATAATTCTAGCAGCACGTTAGCCATAAAATTATCAAACCATTAAAGATATTATTATATATTAAATTAACCACTTTTTGAAGACAAAATCAATGGATGATCATGTGGGTTTCTATGATATTTATACAGTGGCGAATTAAGACTTCTTGGGGCCCGGGGATATTTTTGTATTCGGAGGCCTTTTTATGGGCCAGAGCCTAAAAATGACTATAAAAAAAAAAGGTTCTCTAAAATTTTTTGGGGCCCCTAAATTTGCCTGGGGCTATAGCGCCCCTACCCAGACAGCAAGCTTACATTGGACCAACGTTGGGCCAATGCATGATGATGCATTGGCCCAACGTTGAAAGTCGATGTTGGCCCAATGCAGGTTTGATCATTGGTTAGGTATTGGCCCAATGTTGTATACAACGTTTACCCAACATTGGCCCAACGTTGTATATAACGTTAGGCCAATGTTGTATACAACATTGACCCAACGTTGTATACAACATTGGCCCAACGTTGTATACAACATTGGCCCAATATCGTATGTTATATATCGGCCTAACGTTTTATGCAACATTAGATCGTTGTTACAAATAAGATGATTTGCATTGCTACATTGAAATTTATAGAGAAAAAAAAGAATGTATGATACAAGTATAAAAATTTATTTATTTAACATAATTTATCGGTTAAATATACATATTGCAAACACCAAACTTAAACCAAAAACTGACACATTGAGTTTTAAATAAAAAAATTCACTATAAAATTTATTGAGTAGTTTCGATATTGGCTGAGCTACTTGTTATTGAATAGTGTTTAGCTTATGATATATGGTGCCCACGATTATTATTTTTTCTTGCACTATCTCTATCACATGTCTGCATAAGCCATGCTTATTTGACTTCACAGTTTCTGCAAAAAAAAATAGTTGTTTGTTTAATTATGCACCAAAGAAACATAACAAATTGAAAGTAATTCTGCAATGCAAAATTGAAACTGAAAAAATAAACTTTTCTAAACCACTTACCAATAGCAGCATATGCAATTAACATTTTTTCTATTCCAATTTTTTGTCCTCTCCCTGCATAGTTTAATTTTACAACGAGGCCATTTTAAAAACTATTTTTAGCAAATAAAATATACAATCTCCTTTGTCTTTAACTCCGATTTGTGCCAAATAATTGACCTGCAAAAATACACAACCTGGCAATAATTAAAGTAACTTTTGTTTAGACTTAAATTAATATAAAATGTAATTTACAAAAAATCTTCAAAGAGTATTTTATTTAAAGTATATAAATTGTACTAAGATATCATACAAAATGCATAAAAAAATTACAAAAAAATATTAACCATTTACTTACGTATTTTCTTTTCTTCCAGAGTACTTGAATTCTTCACTACTTTTAATAGCAATGACACTCTTTCAGGCAATACAATAATTAGTATACCTTTGTTACTCAAATTTTTATAACTGAATTTGATGTGTTTTGTAGTTTACCAAGTTGTACTTCAATGACGACTAAGAATGAACACTAAAAAAAACATAAGTTTCAGAAAAAATAAATGGGTAGCACCAAAAAAAACATTATAGCTTAATTGAGCGTTGTATTTTGAAAATGTGACAAGTCACAAAATTAAAATTTTACAAGGGAGTGAAAAATATTTCTCCTGTAAAAAATTTTATTTTTATTTTATCTAAAGATTGTTTCTTTTCTCTAAAAAAATCTTTACTTTATCTAAAAAAATATTTATTTTATCTAAAAAAAATCTTTATTTTATCTTAATATTCTTTTATTTTAAGTGAGGTTATTTGAAAAGAATATTTTTTTGAAAATATTTTTTTCAAATAACCTCACTTTTAAAAAAAGTGACTCAACATGTTTTCAAAATACAACGTTCATTTGTGAAACGAGTAACTTCTTAACTAGAATTACTGATTTTTCCATGACTATCTAAAGAAAAAAATAACTTCCTGACTTTTCTAGGTTTTCCACGACTTTAGCCAATATTAACAAATTTTCCAGATTTTCAAGGTACAGTACGGACCTTGTCCAATGTTTGTAAATATTTTTTTTTACATATTTTAGTTCTGAATTTTAATAACACTATTTTTAAAAATAATATTATCTATAAAAATATTGTATTACCTTTGTCTATTAAATAAATTTAAATAAACGTTTATATAATGAATAATAATGAATCACCAGCAACTGTTAAAACTTTAAACTGATATGAATACTGATATAAATACAAATACTGTTGTTTTTTTCAACATTTGATTTCAAATAGTTTTCAAAGTTGGTGACACTAACTTTGAAATCCAACAAAAATTTTTTGTTACGTTCATAAACTTAAATGTTCTCAAAACAACTAAAAAACCTGGCCAGTTTTTTTGCAACTAAATATACTTTCTGTGGTCAGTATTCGAGAGCAATCACTCCGGCTTCTTGACCAAGCCTGTGGTGTAAGCTTTGATATTTTGATTATTACATACTAAAATGTTAATTAACACTCTGACTTTTTGACCATAATATAGGAAAAAGTTTTTAAAATTGTAAAAGTTAAATCTATGAATAAAGATTTTCAATCATTAGACACTTACCATTTAATAATTTTGTTCATTCAACTTCTCAGAGCAAACATTAAACTTCTGTAAAGATTTTGGAGTTACAAGTAAATCCATAAGTTTAATAATATTTTTTGTTTTATTATAAGAAAATGAGGATAAATCATCTACACCAAGATATACACAATTTTTTGTCTCTTCAATCTTTATTTTGACTGGTCATTTTCGCTGTCTTCCTTTTTTGTCTCCAAAGCAGAAATTTAGCCTTATGCTAAATTCAATCTTGTATTGCTTTAAAAATCTATAAATCAAATCATTAATAATTAAGTTATAACTAAAGTTAATGTATAAGCTGAAAGTTGTTAACTGTTGTACGCAAACTAAATATGAAAAATATCCAGAGATATTAAATTAAATATTTTAATTTAATATCTCTGGTTATTTTTATAATTAAACCAAGAATAATGTCCCTCTTCCTCGGAAAGATGGAATATTAGAAAGCTCTACATAAGTAGAATATAAGTTCTAGTAACATTACTTTTTATACACTGTTTTAATATGTTAGTAGATATGGTTTCATAATCAAACACAGAAAAAACCAAACAAGAGACATATTTAAAATGTAAAATATCAGCTTCTAACAACTTCAATGCCACATATATATTATTGATACCTTTAATAATATATCTTATAATAGCTATATAATCTATACTATTATAAATAATGAAAAAAAAATAATTATACTGTATGACATTTTAAATGTTTGATTTATTTAATAAAGAAGACATTTAAAATGTCTCCTTTATTAAATAAATCGAACATTTGAAATGTTTTATTTATTTATAAATAATAATAATAAATTTTATAAAATAATAATAAAATTTGATAAATTAAATTTAATAAAGATTATTAAATAAAACAAACATTTGAAATGCTAATACAGTAATAAAAATATAAAAATAACTTTAAGATCTTACACAAAAATAATTTGATTATTGCCTTTATTATTACATTAATAATTTAGATTGTAGTAAAAAATGTTTTAAGCATATTATTTAAATGTTAACAAATATTTCATTTAAAAAAACAAAACATTAAGTCACGAGAATTTCTTAAAGTTTACTTCTTATAAGAAACTTTTTAAGATTCTTAGAAGATTAATAAATATAGCTTCTTTTTTTTATTTTTATAATTTAATTAAATGGAAAGATATATAATAGTATCAAAACCTTTTTTTATTCTGTCAAACGATACCATTTTTAAAAAATGTTTTGAAACAATTTAAAAGTATATACTAATCCGAAACTACATTGGCCTGTCACCATATATATATATATATATATATATATATATATATATATATATATATATATATATATATATATATATATATATATATATATATATATATATATATATATATATATATATATATATATATATATATATATATATATATATATATATATATATATATATACATATATTATTTATAAATAAAACTGCATATTTTTCACAACTATTAGTTTCATAAGGTAAGTATACAGAAATATGTATACATAAGTATATATTGTGTATATTAACGTATTGCACCTTCCAATATCGTGTGCAATCTTGTCCAGTTTCTCTATGCTATCTTTCTAACTCGACTACTTCTATCTTTCACTCTTCAATCTTCGTTTTTCTTCTTTAAGGCCGTTTTCCACAAGACAAAATATTCGCGCGAAACGAATTTTTTCGTCGATAAGCATGCGCAGATTAAGCAATTTTGGTAATTTTTCTGATTTTTTTTCGCAGTGGGCCAAAATCATTATTAGCTGGACAAAATTAATAACTTTTAAAATATTTATCAGGTTTTTCCCATAATTAGCAGCTTGAGTATATTTCATATAACAAATCTAATGGCACCATTAGATTGTTTATTTGGTTGCCATGGATACCTATATTTCATGTCAACAGGCATTTTGCATAGTTACCTAAATAAAAAGACTTTCTCAAAATATCAAAGTTATAAACTAAACTGATATTAATGCTACATTGCTATTTTATGTATTTGAATGATAACACAAACAAAAAATTATCAATTTTTGGTGTTACTATGCTGTTATGTGCTCTTAGAAACCAGTTGGTAATTTTTTTTGAAACTTTTTCTTAATTCAAAATTTCTTTAAAAAATGAAATAAAAACTTTTAAAACACTCTTAACTATAAAGGTTTACAGGAACAGTTAATTAAATTTTAACTGTGTAGTTTAGATACCCTTAGCAACCATATAAAAATAAGCAAGTTTTTATGCAATTAGAGATACAAAAAATTTTATAACGAATATATAAGAAAACAAACTTTTATATTCATTATTTTATTATGTAAATATTAAATACTTATAAAGTAAACACCATCTTAAACACCAACGAAAATCAAAACTATGTCATTGACACTTAGTCAAAAATTGGAACCTCTTTAAGAAGATCAAAAACTCCATTTGGAAGAGCGTTTTTCTTAGGATGATGGGGTTTTCTCAAACTACTTATCAAAGGGTCAGAAGAACACATTAGTCGCCTTAATAAATCTTCGTTTGTTTTGGAACGCGAACACTTTCTAGAAAATGATTCTCGAAATTTCTTAAAATTTTTATTTTGAGCTTCTTGTGCCTCTTCGCTGAGCATGCCAATAGGCAAAGCCATTCTCTCTACAACTTGCCAACCATGAATAAGAATGTGATGCAGACTCTGTGGCATATGATACCATGGATAAAAGATTACATACTTCTCAGCTGTTTTGTAGCAGTATTCTCTAAATAGTGAAGAATCAATTAGAAAGTTAGATGACAATGTACACAAAATCACATGCAACATCTTTATCATACTGACATCAAGTTCAAGAATTTGAGCAGACTTCTCTGCATTCTGAAAAAATTTTCTAGCAGTGTTTCCATTATTTGAAGACCCAGAGCCACCAGATGTTGGCATATCAATTATCAGTCCAACTTCATCACAAAACCTTATCTGGATTTTCTGTTTTCATTCTTGAATAATTTTCTTTTCAGATATAGTTCTTGTAGCCCACTTTTTCACTGTCAATTTATAACTAATTTTAAGAAGACACTCCATGCTTTTAATCCAAGCATGGAGAGTTGAAAGACCGAAGCAGAGACCTATCTCTGTCAATGGCATATTTTTAGCTGCATTAAGATCATTCATTTTTTTTGGGCTACATCCACAAACAGAACAACACTGAGAAGATGTAGTTGCTGTAGATAATGCTGTAGCAACTTTGCCGTCCACCATCGTTATTTCAATTTTATGAAGTATTGTTAAGTTTTCACAAAATGTTAAAGACAATTTTGCAATTGAATTGTTAATAAACTGATTCTCTTGTTTCAAAACTTCAATGGTTTCTTTTTTAAATGAAAATCTTATTGGTCTGCAATATAAAGTTGAAGATGGATGTGGATTAGACCAAATTACTATTTTTTTATCATTAATGAATCCAAACAACTGAAGTGGAACAAAACAAGAAATCAACAAACTAGCTTCTTCTAAAAGATCTCTGTTTTCTTTCTCAACTGTTACTTGATTATAAATCCTTTGGCTAGTTGATCCATCAAACCCAACTTTAGAATATAAAGTCAACCTTTCAAGATCATTCATTGAATCAATAACTTGTTTCTGCAACTGTATTAGGCGTATTGCTGTATGATCGACTAATGCTTGAAAGTTTATTTCTGCTGAAAAATCATTTACAGTCCATAATGTTTTTTCAGGAAGACACTGTTCTTTAGCAGCACGAACATCATTGTAAGCAGGATAGAGATTACAACCTTTGCTCAAAGCATTATTTCTCAAGCGTTGGTAATCAGATTTGCTCATATCAATATCTAATATGAGTGCTAGAGCTTCATTTAGAGTGTTTTGAGTATGTTCTGTATCAAAAGGTTGCTTAATAGATAAACTTCGAACTACTTTTGCATCCTTTCTTCTGCTATCTTTAAAAAGATTACAACTACTAGCATACAACAGTTCATTTGATGAACAAGTTAATAAGTCCATAGCTGCTACTTTACGACTCTTTGTCTTATTTGATGAATCATCAAATAATTTTACAGGTCAACCACTAACTATAGATTTAGTTTTATTATCCTGATTTTTAAATGACTTAATAAAGTCTTTTTGAAGCCATACTGAATTATGTTTCATAAAGTTTTCATCAATTCTTTTACTTAAAGACCAACGTTTACGATGCTTGGACAAAAAGGTTACAAACTGAGCATCAAATTCAGAACAGTATTCACGAATAAAATTGTAAACATAAAGTTTGTCTTTTTCATTAGACATAGATAAACCATGCTGTCTTATGAATTGATGAATTTGATATCTTGTGATGGTTGACATATTACTAATAATAATATTATTAGACTAAAATAATATAAACATTAAAAAGTTGTATTAACATATATATATATATATATATATATATATATATATATATATATATATATATATATATATATATATATATATATATATATATATATATATATATATAAATACTTGTTATTTTGCGACAAAAGAAACTTGAAAAAGAAACATCTTTGATTTTATAAAGTATAAGTATTAAAAAGTATTATAAGTATTAAAAAAAGTAGCAGATACTAGCAGCTAAATTAATAATTTTATAAAAACATATACATATAGCCTTCAAAATATGTATAAGAGATAAAGGCAAAATAGAGCACAAATTTTTCCTTGTTGTCTTTTCAAAAAAAATTAAAAAAAAAGTCCAATTTTTACCAAAAAATATATCTAAAACTGGTTTAAAATTTTTTTTTAACTTTTTTTTTTTTATAAATTTTATATATTAACAATTATTTGATATGTTAATAAAAACAGTTAACCAATATACTAAAAATTTATTACACACTTTTGCTTTTTTAAAAACTACATTTTCTCACTTTATCGCCATTTTTTTTTTTGCAAAAATTTTACTTGAAATGAGTTTTTGTTGAGAATATATATTTTTTTAATTTATTGTAATTATTTTTAAGGTCCTCAATGTATCTAAGTAAAAACTTTTTAAAAAGAATTTCAGTTTTCAGACATAAATTTTTTTAGTTTTGTCCACCTACTGGCCCACTGTGCAGCGTTTCGCTGCAGCGAAAAAAAAAGTCGGATTCATTTCGACTTTTTGCGAATCGCCATATGCGAAAACCAATCAAGTTTTGAATGTTATATCACGTGATGTCAACAGTAAAAAAAGCGAAACCATGTTGTTTTTAAGTAACAAAAAAGAAAATTCCTAACCTAGCGTTATTATTAATTTTATATGAACTTACTCTGAAAATTGGCAAGCATGAGTAAATTCATCAAACAAAGAGCAAAGCTTATATAAAAATTAATGACAAGACTTGTATATAAAACTAAATTGAGAGTTTACAAATATAAATTTTCACACTGTCAATTACGAAAGTTACACTTCATAAGGACGTTTATCTTCAAGTGACCACACAAAGATAAACCTTTTTGTGTAAAACCTTACATAGAGTTAAACCTTTTGTTCGTTTTTGCAGTAACAGTTTTTAATAGAAACAATCATATCCGATTTTAGCATCTATTTTCTTATACTTTCTTGTAAAAAAAACCTTTGATTTCCTGTTTTACTTCTATAAAGCAAGACTCTCGTGACATATTTATGACTACATATTAAACTATATATATCTAATTTAAAAAGAAATAATTATCCAAAATATTATAAAAAATTTAAATAAATAAAAAAGTGGTACCCATTTCGGTCCCACATATGGGCAGCCCATTAGGGCTGCCCATTTGGGTCCCAATTCACGCCCAGCGACAATTTGCTTTGGGAGGGATGTGGGCAACCCATTTGGTCCCCATAATTTATTTATCTTGTATTAACTGGGACATTAACACCTAGTAGCAAAGGTAAAGTTATATCTTATCAAAATAGTTGTAAATAACAAACAAAATGATTTTATATTATACCATTTTTTACAATGTGTTCTTAAATGGTACTAACAATTTTTTCCAAATACAATATTACAGATTATATCTTTTCAAAATCATTATAAATGACATACATTTCGAAGATGTTTTTATGCTTGTTATTTTTTCTATTTTTTAGTTTTTAATAATTTTATATTCTTTAGTGGCTTCGACACTTTGTAGAAATGGTAACTTTATATCTTTTCAAAATAATTATAAACGACTTATCAAAATATTATATATTCGAGCCTTTTTATTTTGCATTCTTTAATGGCAACAGCAACTTTTCAATACAAATATGTGTTCCATAAAATTTAAAGGTGTCATTTGCTGGAGCGGGATCAACATCTGGTAGCAATCGTGAAATTATATCTTTTCAAAATAAATAAATTTGCAAATCAAATGATTACTTATTATTCTCTTTTTTACTTAGCGTTTTTATGCGGTAAATCTGTTACTAATGATCATGTTACAAGTTATATTTTTTTAAACTATTACTAATGACTACAAATTTGAAGATTAAATTAAAAGAAAAGCCTTTTTTAAGTTGTCTTTTTTATTTTGTGTTATTTAGTTGCATCGGCATGTGGTAACAATAATAATGTGATACATCATTTCTATTCAAAATGATAAAATATGACAAAGTTTGAAGATGTCCTTTTTGTTTATCATCCATTTTATTTTTAGTATTTAATGGCGTTGATAGTAATAGTAGTAATGGTTTAGTCTATTCAAAATAATTATAAATGATAAATCTTAATATTGTAAGTTACATCCTTTTTTATTCCGTACTCTTTAGTGGCAACAACATCAAATACCGATGTTAATGTTATATATTATATCTTTTTAGAAACGATTAAATAAATTATAAGATATCTTTTTTTATATTCTCTTTTATTTTGGAATCTTTAATTTTTACAACAATTTGTACCAGTGGTAAACTTACATGTCAACTTACATGTCAACTTACATGTCAACTTACATGTCAACTTACATGTCAACTTACATGTCAACTTACATGTCAACTTACATGTCAACTTACATGTCAACTTATATAACAATTTTCCCATTAGTTTATTTTTCTTCAATATAACACCAATATAACGCTAGAGTTGAGCAAATAAAACGGATAAAAATAACGCCAAAATAACGCCAATATAATGCCAAATAAAACGCCAATATAACGGATAATTTGCGTTGTGTTTGCTCAACTCTGACATAATGCTTTTTTGCAACTTTAGCGTTAGTTTTAGCGTTAGTGTGCGTGAGAAATTACAGCAACAAAGACGTTTCCTGGAACAGAATAATTGAACTGATTTTTGGATCCTTCAACCTTCTATGAAAAACATATATTAAGAATTTTAGATCTTGCTTAAAACCTCAACAATCTGTCCAATGTAATTCAAGGTTGAAGTTTCCTTGATTTTTATGGGTAAACTACAACTAGCCGACTCCATATTAGAAAATTGTTGACCTCAGGTTCTACTAGATTAGATTCATTTAAATCAACATCTTTTTTACTTTTAATTTGTTGGTTCTCAGGTTTGATGTTTGTCAATCATCAATATCATTTAATGTGGTTAATTTGCCTGGTGCAACTTTTTTCCCTAATTTTCTCTTGGGTTTTTCTGGTGTTTCATTGTCTGAGTGGTTCTTGAAAATATCTAATACATTTTCATTGAATATATTCTTTTATGATCTTACTTCCATAATCTTTGTTGACATTCGAAAGCCTTTTTAATACTTGTTCTCGATTCAAGGGATATATGCCTGAAGCTTTGTTTCTCTGCTTTCAGAGTGTTTTACAACTTTGTCAAGAGCTTTGATGTTTTGGAATTAAACCCTTAATTCTTGATTCTCTTTGCCATATTTGTAAAAAAAATTCTACTTTACTTTTAAGATCTGAAAACAGAAACATCAAGCTGTTGCAGCAGATGTGTGGCATTTGGTATTAACATGTAAAGCAGATATAATTTTCAGAACATGCTTTGATGCTATAAGTGCAGCCGAGGCGCAGTGGTTAGAGCTCTGGCTCAGAATCCTGAGGTCCGAGTTTCGACACCGGCTTTAGCGACATAGATAAGGAAGCAGGCGTGAACTCCCTTGTTAAATACTCTTCCGCGGTGCTCTGTGAAAAGACCGTAAGGACTTCTGGGAGCACCTTAATAGCTACAAAAAGAAAAAAGTAATGGCACGTGGTTAAAGTTTTTTTATGTTTGGTTTTTTTGATTCGGTTTTAAACACAAAACCAACAATTCGGTTTTTTTCGATTTCGGTTAAAAATAAAACAAATTTTTGGAGGCCATTTTTTAAATAAACTTATAATTACAGATTTTCTAAAATACCAAAAAAAGTTAAAAATTAATTTATACTTTTTAATGTTTTTTTTTTATATAAACAACTTTTTCAACATTTTCAACCGCCAACGTTGTTCAGAAAAACTACGTCTTGCTGTGTTGAGAAATGAGTTGAGAAAAAACTTTCTCCGAAGATGCTGGTATACAAAGATATTTTCGTGCCTAACCTGATAAAATCGGGTGCTTCAACTTCATAACTTTCTACCACTCTAAAATATTTGTCGTTTATTCAGCAGTTTAGGGTGCTAAATAATGATCAGTTTTTAAACCCAATTTAGTCATTGTTGAAGAACTACGTACTGAAGTATCTTGTTTTATAAGCAGTTTGTGGTAATTAGCTTTAACATTTTCATCACTTTTGTTGTCAGTTTGCTGCTACTCATTGAAGCTTTTTTGTGTTTTTCCTTTTTTCCTAAGTCAAATTTGCTTCTTTTATTTCATCGCATTTTTTATATTCAATTAAATATAACGTGGGTCTAAAAAATTAAAAAATAAGATCTTTCTTGCAGTTCACAAATTAGCATTTTTATAAATATTCTTTTGGCTTGTGTTTGAGATATTGATAGAAAAGTAGCTTTTGGTGCTAGGAATAAAATTCAATTACCACTTCTTGGGTTGTTGGTTTTTTATTGGCTGATAAGTCTACTGAAATGTTGTAAATTTTTTCAAGAAATAAAATGCTGTAATCTAATGCCTTTCATTGATCATCTGAAAGATTTAAAATTCAAACTCATCACTTTAAAATTCAAACTCATTTTTATTTAAAATTATTTAAAATTCAAACTCATCACTTGTTTTTGCAATTGTTTTGATTACATCTTTGCCTGAATTTAAGTTTATGTAATAATTCCATCATATTGTACACGGAACAATCATTTTTCTGTGTTTAACTCCAAGTTCTTTACAAGTATCATGAAGCTTGGTTCTAGAGAGAACACTTTTATGTGTGTGTGATACTGAATTTGTACAGTTTTTTATCGCTTTAAAAAGTTCATTTGAATTTTTGATTGCTTTAAGAATAAATAACTAGATTGTGTAACCATTGCTGCGCAATTCTGAATTCATCTTTAGCTGCTAAAACAATGTTGCTGTCATTGTCTTAAATGCAGGTGGGCTTCTATATTTAGTTTAAATTAGCAATAAAAGTGTCCAGGTTTACTGCAATCGTTACCCCAGTGTGTCTACCAGCAAATAGTGCGCAAGCAATGAAAAAACTTACTAAATTAAAGACTGAACTAATGTAGTAAATTGTAAGACTCATTTAAGAATCATTGTTCCAACTTGTCCAGAGATCTGTTGTAAAAATCCAGTTAGATCTGGAAAATCATTGAGAAATTTTATTTGCAAATAAAATTATAACAATTTAAACAGTAACAATTTAAAAGTATATACTAATCCGCAACTACATTGGCCGAATATTGGCTACGGTAAAAAGTAAAAACAGGTTTTTATGGCAAAATATTAAGCCTAAACTACATTGGCCAAATATTGGCCCAACGTAGTACGATAATTGCAAAAAACCGATTTGTAGAATTGCAATATTACGCCGAAAAAAAACATTGGCCCAATATAGTACGATATTTGCAAAAAACAGGTTTGCAGAATTGAAAAAAATACGCCAAAAAAAAACATTGGCTAAATGTTGGCCCAACGGAATAAACTTGCCAATGTTAAAACTTACATTGGGCCAATGTAAGCTTGCTGTCTGGGTAGCTCCCCTTTGATCCGGTACTGTATTTGTAATGAGAGATAGCTAAAATAATAAAAATTATAATATTTTTAAACACTATTTTCTGGAAATCGGGAAATATCAATTTTGTACTAAGAAGGAACGCTTAGGATTTTATTTTTAACACATTCTCTTAAAATATACATATTGATAGAATCTTAAATATACATATTGATAGAATCTGAAGAAAAACCTCATGTTTTTTGAAAATCAACCTAAAACCTTTAGAATCAAGCAGTGTAAGGAAAAGCTTGTATAATTTCTTATACTTTTATCAAATTTAAAATCTAATCTAAGCAAACCATTATAACATGCAACAACAATTGTTTTTAAAAATGTGGTTTTTTAATTTAAGCGATTTATCAAAAACGAATAACAACTTTACGAATCAGACTTCAAACTAACTAACTATGAATAGCAGCGTTCTGTCTAATAATAATGAAAAATGTCTAATTTATGACGAGTACCTAAATGTAATTAACAAACTCAAGCGATGATTTTTAGAAGACGCTGTTATACTTTACACGAAATAGATCAAGATTGTCATAACAACCATGTCGAAGATAAACATCAAACCTATATAACATTAAATCTATATAAATATAGAATCGATATATTCATAAGGCTAGCTTTCTTATTCTCGTGTTTTTCTTAAATAATATTACTTAATGAGCAAAAAGTTAAAGGTTTTTACATACTCAAAGCGCAGATAAATATGAAATTATTTATTAAAGAATTATTTTTTTTGGTATGTAAAATTATACTAAAATTATTGTTATTTAATGTTTATAACCTTGTATATATAATACATGGTATAATGGTATTAAATTATCATTTAATAAAAAATAAAACTTACGTTTTCTTTCGGTCAGTTATAATATCACTTAGTACATATAACAAGAATACTTAACGAAAAGATACTTTGAATTGCGCTTTTCAACAAAACATTTTGAAAAAACACCAACACAGGTCTGACTTTAAAGAGTAGGTCAAAACTTTAAATAATTTTTAATTCAAAAAGAATTGTTTTTGTCGTATTATTTAATTATAATTAAATTTAAATAAATAAATGATTTTAGGTGGGTTAAAAGTTAAAAAATTTATGTCGGACTTTTTTTCTTCAATATTACTAACTAAAGCAAACAATATTTAAGTTACGCACAAAATCATAACTTAACAATATTTAACTCAGATAGGAGATATAATACAATTAAAAAAATTCATCATCGAACCACAAAATGGATTAAGTTAATAAAATCAGGCGCGGATTTAGAGGGGGGCACAGCCGGCTCGTGCCCCCCCTAAAATTTGATTAATTTTTTATTTATAATTATGTCGATCCATTCTCAGGTCAGATATTCACTCTATAAAAGACAGATATTCACTCTATAAAACTAACAGCGTATTTCTGTAATATCAAAAAACATACTCTTGCTTTGTAATTGGAAATTGCAACAATACATGTAAAAGTGTATTCAATATATAAATGTTGAGAATTGAAAGTGTTTTTGCTATTCATTCTTGGAAAAAAAACAATGATTTTGCAAATGTTATATTAAAAAAACTAGTTAGAAAAGGGTACTGGAAACTGTCCATTTTGGGTTGTCATTTCATAAAAAATCATTGGCGGCTGATTATAGACCCCCACCCCATTTGTGCCCCCCCTATCTTTACAACCTGTATCCACCCCTGAAAATATTTAAAATACGAGGAACATTTAACACGTTTAAATATATTAATCACTAATCGAGTAGTTAAAAACTGGAATTCCTTATTAAATACCACAGTAAACGCGCCATCGCTAAAAAGTTTTAAATGTAGACTTTAATAGTACAATTTATTCACGCAATTTGGTTGGCGCAGCTATAACTGCAAATGTTATCGGAAAAAGAGGAGTCTGTCTTTCTCTCTTAATAATTAGAATATGTATTTTAAACAAGTTACAAAATATACAAAATCATAATTAAAAACCCTTTTTGAAAATACATTTTATTGTCAAATATTTTTGAATATATTTATACAAAATTATATTCAAAAGTATTTGATAATTATTTAGAAAAAAATTTTTTTTTCATTTACAAATATTTATGATAAAAAAATTCACTTTATTAAGTTATTTTGTTACATTCCAAAGTATTTGATAATTATTTACAAAAAAAAAAATTTTTCGTTTAAATGTTTATGATTAAATATGTCACTTTATTAAGTTACTTTGTATGTATATACCTTAGTGGCGTCACAGGGGTTGGTGTCACCCAGTGCAGTAAACCTTTGGTGTCACCCCTCTAGACTTTTATTAATTGGGACAACGACACGGGTTTTGAATTTCTCAAAAAAAAAAAAAAGGTTGTTTAAAAAAAAGTTGGGGCATACAAAGTACAATCTTTTGATCTTGAATTAAAAACAAAAGATTTTTGTTTGAAATGAAGGAATAGCAGAGTTATTTATAAAGAATATAAAATCAAAACCTGGTTAGATTTATTATTAGACCATGAACGTATTTATATATGGACGTTTAACTCATTGTTTAAAAGCCAAGATTTGCGCGCTAGTAATTGTTATAAATAACAATAGACAAACAATAAAAAACATTTGTGTCACATGGAAATCGATATGGTAACTGTCTCATCTATCCAATTAAATAAAAAAACTTTATAATGTAAAGTATTGTGGTCAAAATATTTTACTATTTTGTCAAAAAAAATTCTATATATTCAATCACCTTTGTATAAGTCCTGTACAACATATATAAGAAAAAATTTTTAAATCATATGATTTTTCTAGAATTTGCAGGGTCGGAATGGGACTAAAGGGCCCGCGGGAGACATTGATGGGGCCTTTTTGGTAGCAAAAAAATTAGCAAAAATAAGTTAAACCGTTAATCACATAGTTTTTTGTTTAAAGGGTATAGGAACTTTCTAATAATGTGCATGCAAGTTTCGATATCTTTGACCATGCACTCCGTCCATTAATTTTTTCGACAGTTTAAAATATAAATCCATATGCAAGGTTTTAAAAATATAGTCATTCTAAAATGCTGCGTCGCATTACTTTACTTTCTGCACATTATTGCCATGCTAAAAAGGATAGCCAAATATGATTTGTATTTTATTGTTTAAAGAACATTGCCACTAACACAAAATTAAAAATCAAAAAATTTAATTTTAGTTTTATGATATAATACTATATATTTTCTTTAGTATAATATAAATTTTTTTAATTATATTAAAAATATTAGAAAATGAGAAATTTTTAAACTCATTTTACTGTATTTAAAGCTGAACTCCAATTATATTTCACTATATATCTTTTATAATTACAATAAACTGAAATAAAATGTTTACTAAGAAACAATAATATTTTAAATAATAAAATTTCTACACCCATTAAATACTTCTGAACCTCTTTGGTTGGGAAGCACTGGCTTCTAATAGGCCATTATAATAATTATTTCGTTCTGAATGTCTTAATATAATAAGGAAGGGGGCCCAAAAATAATTTTGCACCAGCATATTTTATCCTCATCAGGGCCATGGGCTTATATAAAATGTATACGCAAAAACACAAACTTTAATGTTTTTTGCATTAAATTAATTTATTAGTCTCTTACTCTAATTAACTTATTAGTCTCTACTAATCTCAAGATAATTTACTCTACCACTAATAAATAATAGTATAAGACTTTGCGATAAATAATAATGTTAATCGCAAAGTAATAATATTTATCGCAACTAATAATAAGACTTTATTTTATTAAATACTTTATATTTTAATCGTAGAAATAACCATATCTATTGTATTGTCTTTGAAAAATTGATGCATATTATTATAATTAGTTATTATTAATTTGTACTTTTGTGTGTTTTATTTATGTATTTTGATTTAAAGTGAGGCCTAGAACTTTCAGACATAGCAGGGGCCAGGGAGGGAAATCCCCCAATCTTCCTCGCCAGTCCGACCATGTCTATTTGTAAAAAAAAATTCAAATACCGAAAAATATTAAAAAAAGTTGTGAGACAAAAAACGATTAAATTTCCGTCAAAAAAGAGAAGTTTAAATTTTTAAGAGAAAAGTAAAATCTAAACGTAGAGAGTAATGGTTGCCAACAATCTCTTGTCCAATCTATAAATGATGTATGATATGACATCACCTAGAAAATACTTTTTACTTTGCAACATTTATTTTAGTATATCACATATTGCATTTTTACAAAAATATTATTATTGACGTCAAAGTTTTTTAACAAATAAGTTATTATTAAAAAAAGCTTTCAAATCAATTAAAATATTTACTATCACATGAGACATTCCTATTAACGAAAAAAATTCATTTATATTTCCCAAAAGTTAGTGTTTTTTAATAAAATTTCTTCTAGAAAACATATAATAAAATGTTTGCTAGAAGAAGTTTTCAAAGGAAAAATGTCGGCTATATGTCGGTTTATTTTGTTCAAAAAATGACGCTAAAAATTCAAACCCGCATAGAATTTCAGTAATTGGACGCCTTGGATCTAGGGTCGGTACAATTGGCAGAGCAGAGCAGATTGGCAGAGCAGATGATTGGAATGTTAATAACGGCAGAGCAGATTATCCAATCAGCCGTTTTCTAATGTGAGATCTGCCAAATATTATTTGCCGTTTTCTAATGTGTACCCTATTCTCTTGTTTGCTTTTTAACAAATGTTTTTGTAAGTAAAACGTAATACATTCAGTTTATTTTTTAATATTCAATTGTTTTTTGTTTTCTTTGAATTGAATTGAAATGTTCAGTAAATAAAAATTATTACTCGTAATCAGATGAACAGTATTTATAAATATATCTAAACAGTATTTATAAATATATAACTAAACAGTATTTATAAATATATCGGTTTTTTTTGTAAAGATAAGTAACTAATATGAAATATTTTATAACAAATATAGAGTATTTTATGGCTTCTGATGCTGCTAATCCGATACCAATAGTGTTGGAGCCTAACCACCAAATGGACGAAGAGACTCCTAGATATGTAGCAGAAGAATCTACTAATTTATCTTTTTCTTTTTGTATTATTTCTCCTAACAATGAGAAGTAAATATAAAATACTTGTGTAAAAAGATTTCATGACAATACGTCTTGAGCTCGAATAGTTTTAATGAGGTAATTATTTTTACATTCTAAATAAATTCTTGAAGATATCAGTGAAAGAAGAATTTACTATAATTTTAATAACATGTAAGTAAACTACGAAGGTCCCCAAAAAGAGGAAAAACGGTTTGTAAAAAAACTTCTTATAAAGTTTTAGATAAGATTAGTGAAAATATAATTAGTTTTTCAACAGTTGATTTACACTATTGCAGACAGAATACATTGAGTACAATTAAAATGTACATATTGTTTACACAAGTTTACCCAGAGATAAATGTATAAAAAGATGTTTACAATTCAACTTTTAATACGAGATTTCATAAACCAAAGAAAGATTTGTTTGATTTATGTCAAGAGTATAAAAACAAAGAAGATGATCCAAAAATACTGCATCATAGAGAGAGTAAACTATTAACAAGACAAGAAAAAAAGTGACCTAGCTAAAGTTACAAACGGAGATTACAAAACCACAGCATTTACAACTTTTGATTTAGAAAAAGTATTTCCCCTTCCAATTGCAAATATTTCTCCATTCTATTATAAAAGAAATTTAAATTGTTATAATTTCACAGCCCGCTATTCATTGAATATAAAAATTTACTGTGCACTTTGGAATGAATC